CCAGCCACAAGCTCTGCTCCTGCAGCTCCTCCTCTTCCTGGAGTGGAGCGGATACCCCGGACAACCGCCTACAGGAAGAGGAAGGACCTGAGGCTGCTGCTGCAGAAGAAGGCCACCAACCACCAGGGACCAAAGCCCACCGAGAGACAGCACAGTACACCTGCAGCAAGGGTGGCCGGCCCAAACCCATCGATGCTGGCCACACTCGCATCGCAGGTGTGTCATACTGTGCAGCTGTCGGCGGAATGACTGGAGGAGTGGCGGGACAATATGAGGAGGCCACAGGAGGACAAGGGGGACTAAAAATGACTTTTTGTTTATTCTGTATATAGTTATTCTGTCACATTGCATTTGTCTGTGTGTATACATGAATAAATGAGAAAGTTTCTTTGCAGATGTGTTGTTTCTGTTGGTTTGTCTGATGACGTGTGAAATACACATGTGACAGCATCTGAGAAAACACAGCATGAAGATCATCAGACGGATCCATCAGCTGAAACACAGAACCATCACATGTTCTACAGGACTGACAACAGAACCAGGCTCTCAGCTTCTTGTTCAGGTTATGGCAGTAATGGATCAAGAACAGAGCTCAGAACAGAACAATATTACCCATGAGTTCATCTGTTTAATGATGAATTATAATATAAAGAATCAAACTCATGTCAACGTTTAATTCCTCACACAGAATACTCCTACCGCCACTACTACTACTAAGAGTAATGACAATAGAATAATAGTTAGAAGAAGCTGTTGATCAGTGAGATGCAGACCCACTTCAGAGGTTCTGGTTCTGATGCCGCACAGCCTCCTGAAGGGAAACAGTCTGTTAGCAGAGTTGCGTACATCAGCACACACAGACTACATGTATACTAGCACTACGTTAATCCTAACAGGTAAATACACTCTGCGTGTGTCTGTTAAATACATCCAGAGGAGAGTCACCTGTCAGGACCAACGCAGTAGTAGTAGTAGTAGTAGTATACATGTGATCTGTACATGTGTACTACTACTATGACATTTATCCTGACAGGTAAAAGACCTCTGGAAGTACTTTAACAGATGCATGCAGTCTCTATGTACACTGTGTTACAGTCCAGTACTGTGTACATGTAGGATCTGTACATAGCAGTACTGCACACAGTATTAAATACTCTGTAGCTAGTAGCCAGTACTTTACTTTAACTGCTCCGTTTCCTCCACGCCTGTAACAAGCCGCTGTAACCGCGTATCGGTATTAATAAGCTGCTATTTACCAGCGCCGTCCTAGAGATGGAGTCAACAAGAAGGTGGAGAAAGTTCATCAGTTTAAACATCCGTTCGTCCGTCCAGGTGATGGAGCAGCTCTCAGGTGTGGTCACTCAGTACACAGCTGCACCTTCACCACCCTGACCAGAGCTCACACAGACCTTCCTTCTCCTAAAATGGAGCGACTGTCAAGGACGACACGAAACAGGAAACAGGAAGCAGGAAGCAGCTGCTGCAGGAACCACCAGCACCTGGCGGCAGGTGTTTCCTCCTGAGCAGCTGCTGATGGAGGAGGATGATGAAGGAGAGGACCGAAGATTGTTGCATGTATTTGTTCTTATACTGTTGTTTTGGTTGTTTCATTTTTTCAGATTCATAACTGGTGTGAGGGGCTGCAGGGTGGCGCAGTTGGTAGCACTGTTGCCTCACAGCTAGAAGGTCGCCAGTTCGTGTCCCGGTGGGGGCACCGGAATCTTCCTGCGTGGAGTCTCCATGTTCTCCCCGTGCAGCGTGGGTTCTCTCCGGGTTCTCCGGCTTCCTCCCACAGTCCACAAACATGCTGAGGTTAATTGGTGATTGTAAATTGTCCGTAGGTGTGAATGTGAGTGTGCTTGGTTGTCTGTCTCTAAGTGTAGCCCTGTGATAGACTGGTTACCTGTCCAGGTGAACCTGCCTTCACCCTGAGTCAGCTGGGATAGGCTCCGCCCCCCATGACCCTGGTGAGGATTAAGCGGTGTGTAGATAATGGATAGCTGGTGTGAGAAACTTTGTGTAGCTTCACAGATGAAGTTGGGGCGTTGAGTGGAACCATCAAACAGAACCAGGTTGTTTCTGATCCTCTGGACCTTTCAGCAGAAACCAGTCCAGAGACAGTATGTTTATCTCTGTAAACATATACTCGTTCTGAATCAGGTGCCAGCAACACCTTTAAAACAGGCGGGACAGGAAGGCTGAGCAACTCTCAGAAAAACACCTGCAGCATCCCACAGGTGAGCAGGTGAACAGGAAGCAGGTGAGTGAAAAGCTGCTCAGTGTGAACAGTTTGGAGGCTGAAAGTCAACAAACACCTGAGTGGAGGCTCCAGATACAGCAGCTCACCTGTCAGAGGTGAACGCCTGTTGGATCATGAAGCTCAGCAGCTCTGTCTGGATCCTGCAGACGTTAAACTGACTTCTGGTTCTGTCCTGGCTTGGTACCTTCTGGGTCGTCAGTGTTTGTGTATTAATGATGTTGTTCATGAAATAACTCCACAAAGTTCTGCTGCTTGTGTCTGTTGATGTAAAGTTCAGTTCAGACTGGGCTGAAAGTCAAACAGAACCGTTCCTGGGTCCGACCCGGTCATATAACTGATGAGACTTTAGTGGCTCAGAGAGCAGTTGAAGTCCAGGTCTGGAGGGTTCTGGTATCCTTCAGATCCCAAAGGCTTCCTGAGTGTTTAAAGAAAAGGAGACAGAACCAAGTTCTACACATTCTGACCCACCTTGTTCCAGAAACAGTTGAACAGTTTTATGTCTGTTTTGGTCTCACTCTGTATTTGGTAAATGATCCAGATGTGGATCCTGGAGCAGCTCAAGGATCAAACATCTGGAACCACCAGCTGCCGCCACGCCTGGACCGGAACCTCCAAGTGTGTATTTATCCGACTGTTGTGTGTCTGTTGTGTCGCTCACTGGTTGTCTGTGCAGCAGCGTCGCTTTATTGTGAAGGGACCCGGAAGTGTGTGTCGTCCCGGAGCGTGAGCACCGGCAGCTGACAGAGTCCCGGTTCTCGCCTCGTTCCGGCTCCAGAGCTGCCGGAGCACCGCTTTGTTTCAGCAGCTAACGGAGACGGACTCAGCGACCCGGCGGCCTGGTTCTGACTGAGCCGAACCGTCCAGGACACCGGTCATCAGCCGGTAACCGACCGAAGCTGCGCAGCTTCGGTGGGATTTTAGGGAGAAGAGTGAAGCGCTTTAAAATGGCTCCCGCCGCCCGGCGGCCGTAGCGGACAGCAGGTAAGAGCCGCACACCTGCGGCCGGAGGCGGGCAGCAGCCGGTAGCTGCACCGGAACCGACTTGTGACGCCTTGTGTCTGCGGCCGGTTCTGTCGCTCCGGGACTGAGCCGTTGCTCTGCGGAGGAAGATCCCACCACAGTCCGTTCAAATATCCGGCAACCGAAGCGGTGCCGCTGCTCCGTGAACCGGGCCTCCGGTTCGGCGGGGCCTCGCACTGTTCACGGTTTTTTAGGGTGAACCGGTCAGTTCGGTTCACATGTGATCACGGCAAATCGGTGTTATCGGAGCAGATTAGAGCGAAGCTCTCAGGCCCTCCGGGCCAGAAACTGGGTTAGAACCGGAGCAGCCGCAGCGGAACCGACGTTTAAATAGTGAACTGTAGAAAGTAACGACGGGTTCGAGTAACGGAGCTTCGCAGGTTTGCAGCACCGAAGCACCGCTGCAGGATCCCCCCCGCCCGCCGAACCAGGCCGCCTTAAAGTGCGTGTTTAGTGAATGGACTCTGGTTCGGTGTGGGCGGACCGAAGGCTGCAGCTGCGGTCATCTTCAGCCAGAACACCTGTCCCCCTGTGAGCATGCGCACCAAGTCTCAGCTGGAACAGTGAAACTTGTGATTTACAAACATTCATGTGAACCAAAGTCAGAACCGATAAAAGGTTCTGATCAGACCAGGAGCTGTTCACCGGTAGACGTGTTTCTCTGACAGCTGCTGTCTGATGACAAACCTGATGTCAGAGGAGACAAACTGAACCGCATCGAGCTATTACAAAGTTAGAACAACAAACAAACAAACAAACAAACGGGTGTTTGTTTTCCCAGGTGTGATATGACGTCATCCACACCTGTCTCAGCACAGACCGATAGGATCAGAGCAACTGCTGACTTCAGGGTTTCTGTGTTTTGTGTGGAAACAGCTCCTGTACTGACCCGAACCCAACTGGACTGTGTCCCAAACACAGACAGGAAGCGGCGGCTCAGTGACTTCCGGCTGTTTGCAGGAATGTTTCCTCTGATTTGTGGAGCAGCTGCTGGGTCGGGGTCTGCTGTTGGCGGTTCTTTGTCACTTCTGGTTGTTCCGCGTCTGTTCTCCACTAGTTGTGTATTTTCAGTTATTTTGTTTTTTGTTGTTTTTGTTGTTTTGGTGAAGCAGCAACATTCCTGTACCTGTCTGGACAGAGTTGGTGTAGTTTGTAGCTGCAGGAGGTCATTAGACTGAAAGCTGTTTCACAACAACAACAACAACAACAACCTGTGCAGAGACTCTCTGGGTGTGGATTTGGTCATAAAACCTGGTGCTCCTTCAGGCAGTAGTCTTTGACCTGTGATCAGTAAAGGTGTGTTTTATTGGTCCTTATCAGCTTTGTTGCCGTGGAGACGATGTTGTTGCAGCAGACCGGTACAGTCACGGTGACTGATTATTGATCGGCCTGTGTGTCTCTGTGAGGACCAGAAAGTCTCAGAACACCTGTCAGGTGAGACGATGACACCTGAGTCAGTCTGAGCTTCATCAGAGAGTAAAACCAGAGTTCAGACCCAGACAGCCAAAACATGACGACAGAGATCAAAAGTAAACACAAGAAATGGACAAAAAATCAAAATGTACAAGACATATCAAAGAACTGCTGTTAGTTCCACAAAGAACTTCTTAGCCACAGGTTCTTAAAGAACCGTTCTTGGTTCCAGTTAGCATGTTTATTTTCCTGCATGCAGAATGAAGTGTGTCTGTGGTCCTAAGCTCTGTCCTGTCTGTTCTAGCAGCACCAGGAGGCAGCATGTCGGCGGCCCAGACCCAGAAGGAGGCCAGTGAGGCGGGCTGGAGCTGCCTGGAGGCTCTGGGCCTCAGCCAGAAGGAGCTGGTTCTGGCCGAGGCCCTGCAGATGGAATACGATGCCCTCTCCAGGCTCAAACAGGACAAAAGCGGAATCGGCCCTGCCGAACCTCGACCTCCAGGCCAAACCCGCTCTAAGACCCCGAACCCCTGCATGGAGCAGCCCTGCCCTGCCCCCAGCCAGCCCATCCCTGCTGGAGGAAGCCTGCTGAGGGGACTGTCTGGGTCCGACTCCTCCCTGAACCAGCCGGGAGGCTCCCAGTCGGCGCCCTCCATCCCCAGCAGGGCGCTGCCTCCCCAGGGAGGCTGCGGCAGAGAGTCCCTGTACATCCTGGACAGTCCGGACCTCAGCAAGTTTAGAGACTCTCCAGGTTCTGGCCTCAGAGACTCTCCTGGATCTGGTCCAGGGTTTCTCTCCAAAGGCTTCCCTGCTCTTCCGGATGATGTTCCCCCTGCCATCCCCCCGAGGAACCCGATCCCCCTGCTGTCAGAGAACCCCTTCCTGCCTCCTCGAGCGTCCACGCTGGCTCGGGATGTGAACCTGTTCACACCCGACGTGGATCCGCCAAAAGTGCCGCCCACAGAGCTGAACTACGACAACATCAACGACTCGCTGTCTCGACTCAATGACAGCCGGCCGCCACCGATGCGAGGCCGCAGAGCCAACGGGGACCAATCAGGGAAGCCCGTGGCTCGCAGTAAAACCCTCCCCCCTCAGGTGCCACCCAGGACGTATGTACCTGTTCCCAAGAGCAACAAGAACCAGCGGAGAGTGTCGGCCGACCCGGTAAGACCCCGAACCAGCCACCCTGATTGACTGTTTTCTGGTCCCAGTCAGGGAATCTTAGTGTTTTCTGATTGGCTGGAGGTGATCTGTGGTCATACCTGCAAACAATCGTATGAATGTTAAAGAAAACCAACAGATCTGGGATATGTTTTAAATATAACCCTGGTGATCTACTGTAAGCCCAGTCGGACTACATCCGATGTGTGTGCCGGTCTCCAGGTGAGGAAAAGTTAAGTCGCTTTAAAACAAACATGCAGTAAATGTTTCTCTCCAGAATCAGCATGACCTTCACCAGGCTGATCCTGATCACCACCGATTCATCTGCACATTCATGTTTCTTCTGTAAAACGGTGGAAGGTTTTCAGCATCATTTCTCACAGCGACGTCTTCGGGAGTCTTTGGTCCCACCAACAGCACAGAACCTACAAAATAATTAGTTCACATGTGAACAGGAAGAAGCTGTAAATGGTTATGTCTGCTGGATATCTTTATGTTTTGTTTCTGCACAGAGGAAGCTCTGAATTCTGCTTCAGAACCCATCAGTGGGTCAGTCTGGGTGTTTTCTCTTCACTGTTTATGTCCAGCAACCAGGAACCAACATCTAGAACCAACATCTAGAACCAACATCTAGAACCAACACCTAGAACCAACATCTAGAACCAACACCTAGAACCAACACAGAGAACCAACATTTAGTACCAACATTTAGTACCAACATCTAGAACATGAACCAATGATCCACATCAACATTTAGTCTAAAACCTAGAACCTTGTCTGGTCCAACTTCACCACATCAGGTTCTACTGATGTTAGAGCCTCAACAGAACCATGGATCCATCCATAGACAGACACTGACAGGAACTTTGTGGGATCAATAATGAAACCGTGTCCTGCTCGATCCATTCAGTGGTTCTGATGGAACTGTTCTGTCTGAGTCCTCAGAACACTTACTGTCTGATGGAGTTTTATTTCTGGAGACACTGAAACGGAGAAAAATTCACAAGTTTTTTCGAGGGTAAAAATATAACAAATCCGGGTCTGAAACATCTAAAATTCTCAGAATTCAGCCAAAAATTTAGCACAACTTAGTTTTTGGCTCCAATGAGCACATTTATGAAACACCATGAGGCGGAGCAGCCACGGGTTTCCTGACTCGGACTGGATTCCATGAACGTGAGTCTCGGTGTGAATGTTGTTTTAACAGCAGCAGCTGTGCAGCAGCTGCATCCTCATAAAGTCGCTAAACTCAGCAGAGTGTGTTCTGATTGGCCTCCAGGAAGAAGCAGCCAGAGGAAGATTACACATCAGTTTATTCTCAGCCTTCAGTGTTTGTGTTCAGGTTGCTGCTCTGACTCCTGGCTCGGTGTCACATTGTGTCACCACAACCGGTGTTTCCACCCAGTCTAGGGTCAGCAGTCAGACCAGTCTAACCATAACACCAACCCTAGACCAGTTCTAACCCCAACCCCAGCCAGTTCTAACACCAACCCCAGACCAGTTCTCACCCCAACCCTAGACCAGTTCTAACCACAACACCAACCTTAGACCAGTTCCAACCACAACACCAACCCCAGACCAGTTCTCACCTCAATCCTAGACTAGTTCTAACCACAACACCAACCCTGGACCAGTTCTCACCACAACCCTAGTACAGTTCTCACACCAACCCTAGACCAGTCCTAACTACAACACCAACCCCAGACCAGTTCTAACCCCAGCCCCAGACCAGTTCTAACTCCAACCCTAGACCAGTTCTAACACGAACCCCAGACCAGTTCTAACTCCAACCCTAGACTAGTTCTATCACCAACCCCAGACCAGTTCTAACCACAACACCAACCCTAGACCAGTTCTAACCACAACACCAACCCTGGACCAGTTCTCACCCCAACCCTAGTC